ATACATGTGGGGGCTATTTCCCGATGGTCAGTCCTGTCCCACTGGCCCATTTGTCTCTCCCTGCAGCAGCACCACATTGTCTTAATGACCCTTGCTTTGGAAGATGTATTGACGTTTGGTAGAGCAAGTTCTCCCACCTTGTTCTTCTTTAAGAAATTTTACTATGTCTTGGTTTTTTGCACTTCCAAACCAATTTTAGAATCAGCTTGTCAAGGTTCTCACACACAAACCTTAGGATTTTCATTAAGATGTGGGAAGATTTATTAAGATTTAGGGAGAATCTTTTCAGTATTGAGTCTTCTAGTCAATGGAATGAAGCCGTATTTCTCCATTTATTTACATCTTATTTGTTCGCTTGTTTGTTTTTTGACTGCTGGCCAGTAAAGGGATCCAAACCCCTGACCTTGGTGCTATAACACTGCCCTCTAAACAAATGAGTTAACCAGTGAGCTGTGTCATCTTCAGTGTGTCTCATTAAAATTTTAGAATTTTCTCCATAGAGTTCTTGCATACCTTTAATTAGATAACTTAAAAGTTTTGTGTACTATTGTAGATAGGATTTCTCTCCCCATCTTTTTTATTTCAAAATAATTTATTTACAGGAAAGGGGCAAAAAATAGGACAGAGTGCCCATATACTTTTCAGCAGCTTCTCCTGTTAACATCTTACATAACCATGGTATACTGACCAAAACTCGGAAGTTAACATTGGTATAACACTACTAAGCTACAGTTTAGTTAATTTGGATTTCCCTAGTTTAACTGATGTCCTTTTTCTGTCCCAAGGTCCCATCCAGGATCCACCTTTACATTTATCCAGCAGGTCTTTTTGGTCTCCTCTGATCTGTGACAGCTTCTCAGCCACGTTTTTCAAAACGTTGACACTTTTGAAGAATACTGGTCAGGTGTCACTGTCCCTCAATTTGTCAGGATTAGACTAGGGTTATGAGTTTGGGGGAAGAATGCTACTGAGGCAAGGTGCTTTTCCCCTTGCATGACATCAGTATGGTTTATCACTGGTGCCATTAGCCATGACCCACTTGGTTAAGGTAGTGTCAGCCAGGTTCCTCCAGTGGAACTGAGTTACTCTTTTTCCCCTTCCACGGTCTAGTCATTCGAAGCAAGTCACTAAGTCCAGCCCACACTCAAGGGGAGGAGAGTTCAGCTCTGCTTCCTGCAGGAGAGTATCAAAGAATCTGTGAGTATATGTTAAAACTACAATAGCAATTACAATATATTTTGGAAGAGGTACTCTCAAGTTTCTCCTTAAAGTCTCACCTACTTTTAGCTTTCATCCATGGCTCTTGCCTGTAGCAAATATCACTGTGGCGTGTTTCCATTTTCCTCATTCCTTCCCTTATTATTTAGAATTCTTCTGTGAGGAATAGTTGCCTCTCTCCTCCATTTATTTAATTTGATCAGTACAGTCTCAGGAATACTTATTTTTGAGTTATAATCCAATACTATCATTATTTTGTTACTCAAGTTTTTCTAGCATTGGCCATTGGTTGGTTCCTATATCCTTTTGAGATGCCCTCATGCTTTTCATTTATTTATTTTTGAGGATTCCCTTCCTTTCTAGAACTAAACAATACTTCAGGCTCATTTTGTATTTTCCCTGCCATAGCATCACCCATTCATCCAGAAAGCCCTAGTTCCTTTTGTCGGAGAACAAATGGTACTTAGAAACCAGGATCTGGGCACTGGGTATGCTTGTTGCTACTGGGGTGTCGTTTCTCTCCTCTCAGTGGACAGTTAGGACATATACGTAACTACATAAACTAAGTACACACACATATCTACATTTGTCTGTCTGCCTGTACCTATATTAAGCTAACAGGAGTTCATTCCAATGTTTCTAACCACAGGCTTCATCCTCAGCTCCCCATCACTACTACTTACTGTAAGTTTTTCTCTGAGAGTAAGAAACCTGGCTCCCATGATCTATTGTTGATTTACATATTATAAAACCCTGCTGTATAGGTGTACCCTGTGTGAAACAAACTTACTAGAATATAGTGTTTAAGATGGTTATTTTCTGTCTTTAGCCATACAGTGCCCAGAAACATAGTTTTCAAAAGCAACATAGGCTTTTATTCCATTAACAGCTCCTTCTTCCCCTCTCCTTTCAGTGCTGTCATATATTTGTTACACTCTCAGAACTCACCCATCAGCCTGCTTTCCATCCCAGGGTCCTCCAACATCCTGGTTTTGTTTGCTTGTTTGTTTTTGTTTTGTTTTTTAATTTGCAGGTAGTAAAATTCACGTTGGAGATGTACAGTTCTGTAGGCTTTGACAAATGCCTAGAGTGATGTATCCACCACTACAATATCATACAGAGGAGTCCCATGGCCTTAAAAATGCCCCAGTGTGAGCCTTTTGAAGTCAAGTAGTCCTCCTTCCCCAACCACTAGCAGCCATTGATCTGTTTTATGTAGCTGTCTTTTTGCTTTTTCTAGAATGTCCCATAAATGGAATCTTATAATATGAAGCCTTTTGCATCTGGCTTCTTTCACTGCTAAGCAAAATGCTTTTCAGATTCATGCATGTTATTGCATGAATCATTAGCTTATTTCTTTTTATTGCTGGGTGGTATTTATTGCATGGATTACCACAGTTTGTTTATCCATTCACCTGTTGGAGGACATCTTGGTTGTTTCCGGTTTTTGGCAAGTGTGAGTGAAGTTGCTCTACACATTTATGTGCAGGTTTTTGTGAACATAAATATTCATTATTTGGGTAAATATCTTGGTCACACTGTATGTCTATGTTTAACTATATAAGAAACTGCGTGCGGCTTTGCATTGCTACCAGCAACGGTGAGAATTCCAGTTGCTCCACATCCTTGTGAGTGCTTGGTACTGGTCAGGTTTTACTTAATTTATTTATTTATTTATTTACTTATTTTAGCTATTCTAATAAGGGTGTCATGGCATCTCATTGTGATTTTAATTTGTATTTCCATAATGACTGTTGACATTGATTGAGCATCTTTTTATGTGCTTACTTGTAATCTGTTTTTTTTTTTATTATTGTTCGTTTGTTTTTCAAATTGAGTGGTTTGCTTTACTATCGTCCAAGTTGTGAGCATTCTTTATGTATTCTAGCTACAAGTCCTTGACTAGACAGGTGATATGCAGATATTTTCTCCAAGTCTGTGGCTTGTCTTTTTGCTCCATTAGCAGTGTCTTTCGCAGAGCTTCTAACTTTGATAGGTCCGCTTTGTTGATACTTTTTCTCTTACAAGTTGACCTTTTGGTATCATATTTTAAAACTCACTGCCAAATCCAAGCTTCCAAGGATTTTCTCCTGTTTTCAAGAAATTTTATAGTTTTATGTTTTACTTAAAATTTTTTAAGTAAGATTGCATATAGTACCTTTTAAGTTTTCAACTTGATTATTGATAATCTCCCACATTAGGCATAAGTGCTGTGTATTAAAATTTACCCATCCATTCATACATTTATATTGGAAATACATTTGGGAAACAGTTGTATTACTCTGGTGTGGGAAAACCTTCCTCTTTCATAAAGCAAGAGATACATGACTTTAAAAACATTAAAAAAAATTTCTGTGATGAAAACAATATAATTAAGGTGAAAAGACCAAAGATAGACTGGGGAAGTTATTTGTGCCTTGCAAAACAAAGGGTTAATATTTCTCATATGTAAAAAATTTGTACAAATTGACATGCAAAAATGAGTGAAGGATATGAACAGGCAATTCCACAAGAGGAAACCAAAACAGTGACCAGCCCTATGGAAGGCACTCAGCACAGATGCAAATGACAGCAGAGCCGCAGTTTTCATCCACGATGGGTGAGCCCTGCAAAGGGCGCTGACAGCCAGTTCAGGCATGAATGTGGGGAAGCTGAATTCAAATCACTACTACTTCTTGGGAAAGCAATCTAGCAACATCTTAAAATTACCAAGGCTGCACCCTCTCACCCTGCTCCACTATGTCAGCTTTTAAGGATAAAAAGATGAGTATTGTACCATTGTCTGAAGAAGTGGCCTAAAACTAAAAGAGCCTGGATGTCCATGAAATATGGTTGAATTAATTGTGGCAAATCTAGACTACAAACTACTATGTAACCACTAAAAAGAGAATTAGATCCCTGTCTATATACCTGGAGAAAAATGAGATAAGCATGTTACAGAGTGACAAGAACAGAGCCACCCCATGTGTATGAAGGCAGCTCCCACCTGGCATCTGCTGCTAGGATAAGCAGGGGGAGCTGGGGACCCAGCTGGCAGTTAACATTGGCGACCTTGGGGAAGAGGAATATTGTGAATGTTTGAATCATTCCACTTCTTAGGAGGATTTACTTCTTTTGCAATAAAAACTTTAAATGAAGAAAGAAGTAAGTCCAGAGCAAATACTGATACAAGTGGATACAGAGACTGACAGAGATCAGTCTCCTGAGCTCCTGTGTTAGGGTCGCTGAGGGTGGGTCCAGGAACCGGAATGTGAAGCCAACTGCTGGGGGTGATTCTCCTGCCTCCCTTGAGGTGCAGGTGGTTGATGTGGCATCGTGGCCAGCTCAAGGAGCCAGGCGAGGAGCTCTGCTGCTGCCCCTCCCTCCTAGGCTTACACTTCCTCGTGGGCACGGATCCTACCACCCTGTCTTTCCTGGTCCTTGGCTCTGTAGTATATGAATGTGACAGTGTGGTGGTGGGAGTCAGTGTTTCTTACCAGATCTGTGTTTGTCACCAATGTTTTATTCTTGACCAAATGTCAGGAGAGGCCCAGAGCCTGAGGTGGGGCAAGTCCTGGACACTTGAGCTCAGCCCCAGCCATGGTTACCTCTGAGGAGGATTCACTGGCTTTTGCCTTCTTCAGACATTGAGGTCTCAGGCACTTGGAGGCTCACAGGTCTATCCCATGGCAGTGGCAGGTTGGGGTGGGAATTTGAGTCCACCTCTGGCCAGCCCTGGGCCCTCTTCCCCATCAAGCCTCCAATGGAGGCCTAACATGCAGTCCCTACACTTTACTCCACAGCGAGGAAGAGCCCCACACTGCTGGATGTGAGCCCAGCCCACTTCATGAGAACCAACAGCTTTGCAGAGGACCTGGATCTGGAAGGGGAGACACTGCTGGCGCCCATCACCCACATCTCACAGTGAGTACCCGCTCGTACACAGAGAAGGGGCGTGGGGCTCAGAAGGCCACCTCGACACTGGGGGAAGGCTCGTTCTCTCACTGACACACTGTCCGCTCATCCAGTGCCTGCCACTTGTCTCCCGCTCTCAGGAACCTGGGGCCGCCTGGGCACCAGACAGGGAACATGATCCTCTTGTTTTGACTTATGGAAAAACCAGACTGATCATTTTCCACTTGTTTTCATGCTTTGAGTATCCGAGAAGATTGCTTTTCTCTCCCCTAGCCCTCTTCCCCAACCCCCTAAAAAGAGGCGACTTTGTTTTTAGTATTGCCCTGTGGAACCCTAGCCAAAGCCATGGGGAAGATGTGGGGTGCTGTCTGCCAGTTACTGCTGCTGTCCTCAGGGGCTCCTTCAGGTGCAGGAAATGGCTGATTCTCCATGCTTTCCAGCTGGCCTTCCCCTGAGGCACAGCTGGCCTGGGACACATGCCCGCCTGTCCTCCCCCGCCAGTCATGGCATCACCAGGCCAATGCCTGGTGCCTAACCATGGTGTGATTCCCTGCAACATGTGACTCAGTGCTCCCAGCCAGGGCACCCAGTGGTGACAGCCATGCAGTGGGGTCAGTGGGGGCTCAGGCCCATTCTGGCTGCTGTCCCATTGGAGATTGCCCCTGAGAAGTGTTTTTGTGTCAGGATGTGTGATTGACACTCGCAGCCTTCTGAGGGTCACTTGCTGGGGCTCTTTCCTTCCCTCTACCGACGTTCCTCTAAAGGGTGTTTTGTTCTCCAGACTCTCTGAGGGTCAAGAGGTTGTCCTGAACCATGTGCACCTTTGTCATAGTGAGGCCCCCAGGCATCCTGCCTTTGCCAGACAGGTACAGGCTTGGCCTTGCAGGTGACTAAGGGAATTGGGACAGTGCTGGGGGCTGTTGGTGTGATCAGAGGACTGGCAAGAGTCAGGTAGCTGGAATGAGGTTGCCCCCAGGGAAGAATGAGCTGTCTTAAGGTGTAATTATGACCAAACAGTACCCACCCACCGTCATGGGCCCCCCAGGCTCACAGGAAGGTTGGCGGTGCCCCATGGTTATCAGGGCATGGAGAGGGAGTGTTGCTAAGCTCAGATGGACCCGACAGGTCACTGGGAAGCAAGGACAACTCATCTTTGTGGACACCCTGGGAATGGGGCTGATGAGCCTCTGGGTCCCTCCTGGAGTCAGCCTGCCAGGCTAGCTGGAGTGGGGGATGAGGGAGGTTGTACTACCACAAAGTGGAAAATGGAGTTTTGTGGCTGGTGGTATATGCAATATGGGTGGAACCCCGGCAGGCCCCAGGATTTGGACCCGGACACCACCCAGGTCTCCTCAGCTGCCCAGCCTGTCTCTTCCTGTCCTACTGTTGGAGCTCCTTCTCCTTCGTTCTCTTGCCACAGATCAGTCTCCAGACACACGGGAGCTACACCCTGGGAGGATAGGGCTATCAGCTGCTGTCCATCCAGCTAGGCAGTCAGGCCTCACCTGCTCCTGGGCCCTGTAAGGCCTCTGCAGGGAGGCCCAGATGAGGGTGGTGAAAGACTGAGGACCAACATGACCCACAACCAGGCCCACAGCTGCACTGTCATCACCCATTTTGGCATGAGATGCCCATGCTGGCATCAGCACATTCTAAGCTGTCTAGAGTCAGAGGCTGCCACTGTCTGGGGGTGACCCCAAGCTGTGTTGTCCAGGGCAGTAGGCTGTTTCTTGACCCCCTTTCAGACAGTGGAGCCTAAGAGACCTAAACAGCCATAAGCACTTGGCCTAGCATGAGCCTGGTACATCAGCGTCCAGCAAGCTGCTGTGGCCTTCCCAGGCTGTCACTCCCATGTTGGGGTAGGGATGGCTCCTCTGTTGCCCCAGTACTAGTTGGGCTCAGGCAGGGCCAAGATCCCTGTCCTTACCCAGCTGAGTCCCCACCCTGGTACCCACCAGGGCCTTTCACTGAGCAGGCCCTTCCAAAAGCAGCAGCTGGATGTGAACCAGCCTGGGAAGGTGGGAAGGAACACAGGCATGGTGCTTGAGTGAGGTCTGAGGTGGGGACCAGGAGGACAGAGAATGAGGCTTCAGCAAAGGGCCACCTCAAGGCATTGTGGTCTGATCAGAGCTGAGGCTTCGGGGGACCTGGGCACCTGCATCCTCAAAAGTCAGAGTGCCATCCTTCCACAGAGCCTTGGCAGGTAGGGCAGGATGCAGGCACAGCTAAGGTATCTAGGGCCAGGGCTACAGGTTGGGCAGTGTCCCTGCCCTGCCTGGGGGAGAAGGCAGGCAGCAGTGGGCACCATGTTTACTCAGGGCCTGACTGACCGCTTGCGGGGTGGGTGGAGGCCAGGTCTTCATGCCCGCCCTGGGGCCGTGTTCCTTTGCCTCCTGCACAGCCTGCCTGATGATTGATGCCCATAATTAAACTCGGCTCCAGCTGCTCAGGGACACAGTGCAGCTTCCGTGGGCAGTCCAGCCAATGGGACCCACACTGTGGAGAGAGGCATATGCCCTAGGGTGTGTGCAAGAGATAGGGATGTGCATGGGGGTCTTGCAGGCGGTGGGGGAAGTAAGAGGCAGTTACTGAAAAACAGATCCATTTTTCTTCAGCATTTCACTCATGTTAAAGTATTACCATGCTGGGTCAGTTCCAGAATTCAAATTAAAAGCATAAATAAAGACACATTTTGTTTCCATCTCAAGCTCTCCCCACCCGCAGGGCCCCAGGGAGGTGAGGTCACTGCAGCCTTGATTACGGGAAGGTCCCTGGGGCTGGGCAAAGCTCCTCTTTCCGGGGACTGTTGGCCACTTGGGGGGACAAGGGGTCGGCAAGCAGGCCTGGTTCAAATTAGGGAGTCACCAGCAAGCAGGAGCCAGGGTGCTGGGAGACAGAATGACTTTGCCACCCCTAGACTAGTAAGCAAACCCCAGCAGCTCCCTGTGCAGCCCCAGGGCCCTCACTCAGTTCCAGGCCACCGGGCCTCAGCCTTCCCCACACTTTTCAGGCAGATGCCATCTTCCTGGGTCCAATAGGGCTGGAAGGGAGCCCCTGTCAGCCTCAAGCTCCCTGGGACTGTGTCCCCTTCCCAAAGCCTTACCAAGGGTATTCTCGGGGGTATGATAGAGAGCCTGGAGGCTTTCGAGGGCAGCGTGAGGGGAACCCCCATGAAGGCAGTGGAGCTTTGCACCTCAGCAGGAGCCAGGGTGAGTTTCCAGAATCCTGCTCTACCAGCTGTCCTCTGCCACTGAGGCTCACTGGAAGGGCAGTGGGAGGGGAGGGCTACCACCCGCGTGTGTCCCTGTGCATTGCATGGTGTCCCACCATCTGCGTCACTCATCTGCAACCATCACATTCCCACTCATCTTTGCAATGTTTGTTCAGTGGTCCCTGCCTCAGGGAGGCCCCCCAGGACATTCACAGGCAGGTTAGTCCTCCTCAGACTCCTGAGGTCCTCTCTACCAGCTCACTAAGCTCTTCCTCCAGGGCCAGGAGGGAACAGGGCAGGTACAGTGCTCTTGGCCTCTCTTCCCCAGCACCCCCAAAGCCCCAGGGAGAGGGGCCCAAGGACTACCACTCCCACCTTGATGCAGAGAGTGCCCCTCAGTCCTTCCTGAGGAGATGAAGTGAGGGTGGTGACACCTCTGCAGGCACTGAGACACAGGGCCGATGGCGTGAGGATCTGCACCGCTAAGCTTGCGAGCTGCACATGGGTGTGGTCTGGGTGAGCTTCTCCTAGCAGCCTTGGGAGGCTGCAGCCATTTCTGTGAAGTCCTCCCTCACCCCTCACCCCTCAACTGCCAAGCCAGCCAGGACTGGCATGGAACCCACACATCTGTCCCATGGGTCATATATGGATACCCAAAATAGACCAAACTCGGGAGGCCAGACCCACTGTGAACCTGGCAGCATGGGTTTCCTTAAAGGTCTTTTCTGTTGCAGTATCTTGAATGGTCAAACCCAAGCTCATTTCTAGAGCCCCACATCCCATTCTGCAAGGTGACATTCAGGGGTACTCTGTCCACTGAGATGCATGTGGGAGAGGACCAAGGGCCTGGGCAGGGGCAGGGGAGAGCAGATGGGGAAAGCTCATAGACCCCTACCAAGTGACCATCAGCACCTCTCTGACAAGCATGTGCCTGCCTGGCCTCTTGCGACATGACAGCCTCACAAATCCTTGAGCAAAACCAGCCCCATGTGCGTTAATTAGAATTTCCATGTCTTCAACTTTCTCCTGGACCCTGCAGAATCTCACGCCAAGACGTTCAAGTTGCTCTTTTCCAGTGAGGCCGCTGTGGCCTGGCTTTCATCCACATCACTACTAATGTCTCCTGAATTCTGCGTTTGTCAGCGAGGCTGGGGCCAGCCCGTGCCTCCTGGAAATGGGGGCAAATGTCAAAAGGCTGGCCCTGAACTTGGTTCCATGGATCAAGGGGCCCTTTTGATGGGACCAACTTTGCCTGGAGCACCCACTCCTGCAGACACGAGGCGCCAGCTACTGCACCTCTGTGAGCACCCGAGCCCCTCGCTTTGTTTCTTGCCTGCAAACTTTGATGGGAAAGGACTGAGAGACTGTTCCGGGACCAGTGTCCAGGGGGACAAGGGAGGGGGCTTGCCAAGAACAGATGAGACCAGTGTGTCTTTCCAGAGTGGTGTCCTGTCTTCTGTGAAGCTCCAGACCACCTCTGTCTGCACAAGGTGCCAAGGAAGGCCCATGGGAGCCCGCCCGGAGGGCTGTGCAGGGCTGCATGAGTCACAGGCTCCCTGTCAGAGCTCCACGCAGGCCGGCCAGGCTCAAACCCATCTCTGAAATGCACGGGGGGATTAAATGTTCCCCTAATTAAATTAAAAGCGAGGCGGATTGGCTCAGTGGGAAAGAGACAGGACTGGGAATCGGATGCCCTCAATCTGGCTCCCAGCCTGCACCGGCCCAGCTGCGGACGGCCCCTGGCGGCCCCCTAACCTTTCCAAGCTTCACTTCCTCCATCTGAGCATGTGAGGAGGAT